AGCAGCATGGATTCTACTATGATTATGAAGATAGGATTTCTGGCTAAAGGATTTGCTGCATTCCAGACATGTATATGGTTTTTCCTCAGTATGTAGTTTTGCTTCTGTGTGAACACGTTGATGATTCTCAAGATCTGAATTCTGTCTGAAACATTTCCCACATTGAGAACAACAATATGGTTTTGTTCCTGTGTGAAGTTTTTGATGCCTTACGAGAAGTGATTTTTGGCTAAAACATTTCCCACATTCAGAACAAGGAAATGGTCTTTTAATTGTGAGATTTTTAATAATACATGATTCCTTTTTATTATCAATAGATGGATGTGTATGTTTAGTGGCTTGATTAATGTTAAAATCTGCGAGATTTTCTTCTTCACATGATGCAGGTTCCTTAATATTAGTAGACAGAGATTCTGTTTGTGCAGAGATTCTGTCTGTGGGTGGATTAATGACGGTGTCTGCAAGCTCTCTTTGTTTACATGAAGATGGAGATTCTGTCTGGGTATGTTCTGTGGGTGGATTCATGTCAGAATCCAGGAGATTTTCTTCTTTACATGAGGTAGATTGATCAGAAATATTTATCACTCTGTTGCCTGTACATTCTGCTCCAAAATTACATTCAGATGTATTTTTTTCTTGGTGAAGACAAGAAGATGCCAATATATGGGTTTCTAATGAAGACATTTTGGCCTCGGCTAAATCTGTTGGATAGAAACGTACAAAAAGAAAATAGTTAAATGCTAAAATTCCTATTAAAAGAAAAAAATATATATTTTGACTTTCACTAAGTATTCTAATGTATAGACACATATTTCTAAGAAAATAGAAATTAATTGTCACTTTTATAAATTAACCTTGTTATACCCCCCTGGCGGTCAATCAGACTATCACTTCTCTTGTACAGTTACTTCTTGGTTTGTTTAGCTCAGTGGAGATAAACTCAAGAGGCAACAATTGCCCAGAGCACATGCCTTGCAAAGACTTCTCATTGAGCTGCATTAGGAGGTCTGTGATTGGACAGACAGAGAAACTCTCGGTAGGGTTAAAGCAGGGAGGCCTTGCTAAGGCAGTGGAACAGCGATATGCAGCTTTTCAAGCATTTTTTTTTTAGATATAACCCCAATGAAAAAAAAAAGTAGAATTAAATGCATGTATGTTTTCATTTAGGGTATATCTACTAAACAGTGATTTATTTTTTGCATTAGGGCAGTGGAGTATCCCTTTAAATATAGCTTTGCCACATGTACAATAAAAG